CCTAACATATTGAGATAAGTTTCTTGACAAAGAAGTGTATTGTGATCCCAATGGTAGAAAGTTCTTTTATTAGATCTAGTTTTCTTTTTAAGGCATCTACTACTGCTTGTTAATCCACCATCCATTGCTTTAAGTTGAGCCATTAAAAATATGTCTTGTTCAGACTTGGAAAGAGCTTGAAAGGATTCCCTTAATGCTGCAAATTGTTCCTTGGGAATTCTTGAAGAACAACCACAATTACACCCTTTTTCTAAAAAAAATCAATTGCTTTTTGATATTCATTAGAGCCATTGTATTTGTTATTTTCATTACTACTTTTCATATATACACTTATCCCTATATATATAATTTTATGTTCACTTTGTGGGTTTTTATAATTAATTTAAAAATTGAAGGGAAATATATGAATGGAATTAAACTTAGATGAATAATAGGCAAATTATTTAAAAGATATGATTGCTCAGTAATTTGTGAAGAGAGACTGAAAAATTTGGTCAGCTGGCCCCATGAAAAATAATTATGGCAAACAACTATAGGAGAGAAATTTTGTTTATTTCCATCAAAAAGAAAAAATTACAGATATTAAAGCACCCCTATATTTTTCCAGAATGATGCACAGCAGACTAATTATAATAACAATTAAATCCTACTCACACCTATTTTTAAGGCCACCCATGTAGGAATCGGTTATGCTCAGTGTTAACTTTTTCACTTTGTCCAACAGTTATAACTTCATATGTGGTAAAATCCTTGCTCACAATCCAAATAATCTTAATCTCAGTACCAGCCTGGTAATTATAATGCATTGGAAGCTCAGTACAGAGAATAACCAAGTATGCTTCACTTGGATCAATGCAAAACATGTAATCTTCAGCCTGGTTGACTCCTTGAACAAGTGAATCATAATCAGTTGCCTCAACCTTCAATTCCATCAGAATCTTGCAACCATTTCGAATAAGAATGTCCAAATGTTTGTTTCCCATTTTGTCCCTCTCTTTTGCCTTTGGGAAGATAAGAAATTCTTTATCAATAATTGGTATGCCATTATTTGTACATTGCTGACAAACTGTTTGCAAAATGTGTTGTAATGTTGAAAATAGTTCAAATTGGAAAGTGTATTCAGCAACACCTTTCTTGGTTTGTACTTCTGCTGCTGTTAAAACTTTGTTTCGAAACATTGAAACAGCATGAACTATAAGTTTGAATATGTCTATTTTTTTGTTTTCTGTGATAAGTTCCACAACTCTATGTGATGCATATGACCGATGAATCACACAATGCATGAATATCAATTGTCGAATTAAAGTTGAGGAAAATTTAAGTTCATATCTGTTTGTTTGGATAAGAACACCAATTGTAAGAAGATGATGTAATCCACTTTTCTCTTCTAGTGAGGGTTCATGTAGCTCATCACCAAACAAGTATTTTCTCCATAGTAATGTTCTTGCAATTTCTGCTTTAGGACTATTTTCCTTCAAGCTTTCAATCACTTTCAGGAATGCATTTGATACCAATGCCCTGTTAAGCAAATTTTCAGCTGCAAATTTCTTCCAGTCTGCCAATCGAATCTGTGTTTTCCCCCAACATACCTCATCAATCAACCTGTCACCACAAAAACTGGTCAAACCTGGATGTCCATTTGTTTGATCATATATGTCTTGTCCAATTTTTTCATATTCCATGCACAGCTGTCTCTCTTCTGCAGCCTCTTTAAAAAGGTTTATGACATCTTTTTCAGTAAAGTGACCTATCCACAATGAGTCAGTGATGTTAAATGGTGATGAATAATAATCTATTTCACTTGATTCTTGCTCAGTTTTGAGTGATAATGTTGAATCGAGGAGTGTTATGTCAAATGTTCCAGCACCAATGAATGAGTACAGCATTGACCTATTTCTGTTCTCATCAACATGTTTGGTTAAGCATGAATTTTTCAATCCTCGTAATCCTGAGAAGAATGATTCCTTTGCTTTTGGGTTTTGATAAAGCCTGTTAAATTCATCAATTATTAGTATCACCAATTTTTTGAAATACTCTGATGTAAACAAATGCTGGAATGCTACTTTCTTTTCTTCTGCTGAAAGTTTCTGAATAGTATCTATGTCAATTGAAATTGGACTCTTTTGTGCAATCTCCCTAAACAAACTATCCCAAAAAGTATCCACTGTAGTAAGATCTAATCCAAATTCAAAGGAAAGTGGAATCACTATAAAACCATTTTTGCAATGTTGACGAATGACTGATGATGTAGAACATGTTGCACTCCAACCATTGGAAGCTATTTCATAGAAGTGTTCAAGATGAGTGGACTTTCCAGATTGTCGATGACCATGTAAAAGCAAATAAGTGCCACGTTCAGCATGGTATAAGAGGTCTGGCATGCTTAATTTGTGCACAGAAACATGAAAATCATCCTTTGTGACAGGACCAGAGATCCTGAAATTTCGTGTGTGAAATCTTTTCACTGGTCTTACTGCTTCTTCTTCCCTTAATCGTTTTGTTTGTTTGGGTACTATATATTTTATAATACAAAGAAGGCAGCCCAAAGAATATTTTTCATTTTATAAAAAGGAAAAACAGAAGTCAGTCAATGTTGTATACAATATACCAAATGATCATACAAGCAAATAAACAAATAAAACGAAATGGAATGAACGAAAAACAATTTTTTTTTTTTTTTACACATTTTGTTCATTACCTTCCCCCCCTCCAAAGTCAGCCGATTTTTTTTGCAAGTATCGCACTTGCTCTCCCCAATCTTTCTTCTCCTTCTCTAATTCCTTCAACTTTCCTTCCAACCTTTCCTTCTCTCCTTCATATTTTTCCACTCCTCCCTCCAACAATTCTTCCAACCTCTTTTCTTTTCCCTCTTTCTTGAATTTCTCCAACTCTGCTTCCGCATTCACCAATCTCTCTTCTGCCTTTTCTTTATCTGCTTTAATATCATTGTAAGTTGCCATTTTTTAAGATTAAAAAAGTTTAAAAAATTAATTTTATAAAAAAAAATTTTTTTTTATTGATTTAGATCAATCGCGGATTTCTAAATAACAATTTAATTTATTATTATTAATATTATTAATATTATTGATATTATTGATATTATTGATATTAAACTAGGCTTATCTGTAAGCAACTCCAAACAAGAACAATTGAAGCTGAAATAATCACTGGGGATCATAAAGGCAGACATGTATTCATCCCAAGAATTACCCTAATGTCAACTGAGAATGCTGGGTTACCCTTTGTATTAAAAAGAAAACAATTTCCTGTACGACCAGCATTTGCCTTGACAATAAACAAGTCCCAAGGCCAATCACTGTCTCATATTGGTCTATACCTACCACAACCTGTCTTTACTCACGGACAATTGTACGTAGCCATGTCAAGGGTACGTAAAGAAAGTAATCTCAAGGTATATGTGAAAAATGGGACAGTGCAAGGCAAAGATGGGACTTTTACAAATAATATTGTATATAAAGAAGCTTTAGTACTATAGACATTATATATATTATAATAAAATATAAGAAAAAAATTCAATATAAATAAAATAAAGTAACTAACACAAAAAAGCTAATAATAGGCACAAACGTAAGGATGTGCTCAAAATTCTAGTAATTTATAAAAATATAGTTAAATAATTGTCAGAGCACTTGCATGGGAGGAAAATATTCGGACTCAAAGCCATTTATAAGTATTACCTATTCTTTAGGCACTCTGACAAAAATTCAATGTTCACTATTGCTATTACAATATTGTCATCATTAAAGTGAAAGAATTTTCTTGGAATGTAAACAACTCTATTTTTAGTGATCAATAATTTTTTCATTTGAACCCTGAAATCCTCAGTAATACTAATGTTTACTTTGTCTGGTTTTGTTGCAGCATGCCCCATATACAATAATTGTGGGCTTTTCGATAGAAACGCGTGAAACTTTGAAAAAATGTTTTTTTGAGTTAATATCACACTTGTATGTATGTAACTCTTGAGGCAGAACATTTTTAATTTAGAAACCGTGCCCATTTTGCATAGTAAAATGTTGAGATATTTTCTTTTGACGGTTCAGAAACGATAGCAAATCCCAAAACACCTCTAGGGTTCACGCGCTTCTATTGAAAGTCCCCAATTTTTTGAATGTCCAAGTTAAATTTTTATTCAAAGAGGAGGAAAAAAATAAAATAAAACTATCATTTAGTAGAAGATCGACAAGATCAACTTTATTCAAAGCAATAAGATAAAAATACAATAAAATAAAACAATAAACAAAATAAACAATAATTTTGAATGTCCAAATAATTAATGAATATACGTATACATATACATATATATATATTATAATTATAATTATTAATTTGTTATTTAAAGATCTAGCTCAAAAGTAGTATTAAATTCATCACCAGTTAATTTACTTTTAGCATTTGCTTGAATTTCAACAGTACCAAAAGTTAAGGTTAACAAAATGGTTCTATCATTGTAATCACCGGTTCTAGGTAGATCTGCTACAAATTTACCCATTAACTCAACATCGTCATCTTCATCACAATATTGTGCATCATTTTTGTCTGTTTTATACAAATCTAAATTCATTTTACGTTGAGACAACGAATAGGGTACATAAACTGTGGTGATTGATTCGTCCACATTCACTTTTGTACCTTTTTCTGCCAATATATTTAAAACTTTAATCACTCCATTTGGTAGACGACGATCCATTGGATCTGTCGATTCCCACGGTCTTACAACATCAGTTCCTATAACACACACGTACACACACATACACATATTAGTTTAATATTTTTTTTTTTCAATTAATTGATTAATAAGACAATATTTTCAATCAATTACCATAATTCCATTTTAATTTCCTATCAACGATTACTTCTTTTCTAAGCCCAAACATAACAGCACCTGTAATAAATTTTATTAATAAATAAAATTATAATTAGCATGTAACAAATCATCACCTTCAACTGTAAATAACCATTACCTCTGATAATTGCTGCCATAGGATGACTTGGTACTGAAATATTTTTTACTCTACTAGAAAACTCTCTTCTGATTACTGATTGTAAGTATTTTGATTCACTAAATCCACCAACCAAAAACATTGCTGAACATTCATTGCCTTTGTTACTATCGAGTTGACGATTAATCAATTTGATGATTTTTTCTATAATAGGATCAAACATTGCCTTAACATCTTCAAACGTTAACTCAATCAACCATTCACAATCAACCAACTCTTCAATCTTTTCTTCATCGATAATATATTGTTTTATTGATGGACATAATTCTTCTATATCTAATTCGTAGGTTTCATATTCTAACATATTACCGGTGAAAGGTAATTTGGCTTTTCTACAAAAGTCCTGAACCATATATTGGAGTTGTGAGTAATGATCTTGTATAATGATTTCCATGACATTCTCGCCTACTTTCTCGCTGACAAATTTTATGAATTCTTTGTCCACGTAACTACCGCCACAAAAATCTCCTGACCTAATCGTTATTTCTGACAATTTTTCATCATCTAATAATTCTCTTGTTGTCAAATCCACTGTACCTCCTCCACAATCAACAACCATAAATGAAGCTAATAAATTAAATTATCAATTATTATTTTAATTCTTTTTAATTCACATATATATAATTTATATATGTATCTATCTGCCTATGCATACATGCATGCATAGATGTACGTTTAAATAAAATGGCATTATTGTTTATAGATTACAAACCTCCCACTTCTAATTTATGTTCTTTAAGAACTTTCATACAATAAATTGCTGCGGCTTCAGCTAAATATGGAAAATATTTATTTATCATTAAAAAACATATATATATATATAAACAAAATATTATGATTTACATACGTTCTGTGGTGAATATTAAATTCTTTGACGATTTATTATTCAATAATCCAGCCTTATAAGCACATTCTCTCAATGTTGCAATAGCACTATCATCAAACTCTGCAGGAATCTAAACAATATATATATATATATATACACACACACTCTTATTAATAATAACACATACACATACAAAGATAACAATAAATTTTTTCGAGTTCGTACCGTTAAAATAAGTAAAACATTATCAAAGAAATTGATATTTTGCCATCTGCTATCTATTGTTTCTTTAATTGATTTGTTAAGTTGAGATAGATAGTCTGTTATGGCTTGTTTATGATGTAATTTATCTGGTAAAGGTGGTTTATCTGTCATTTTGGCAAGATGAAGTTTGAAAAGCTCTGTTGTCACGGCTTTAGTAGACTTTTTCTTTTTGCTAGGTTTTTCAGCTAATGCAGGAAGACCCCAATTCAAAACTTTAAAAGATTCATCATATTTTAGTACTGTTGGGGTTTTAAATTGACCAGTATTTTGTGGCCAATTATCATTTGTGATGATTTCAAAAGGGTTTGCTTTATGTGCATAACCATATCCCTTCATAATGATAATAATATCAATATATATATATATATATATAATTATTAAAATAATCTCTTTATAAAAATAAATAAATAAAATAAATAAATAAACTAAAGCGATCGTCGACTCACCGAGAAGGTTGTGCCAAAGTCTATCCAAGTTTGTTTAACAAACAATAGTAATTAGTAATGGACATAATTTATTTATCAATCTAATGATATTTTCGCACGCTAAAAAAACATAATATTTTAAAGCTTACCGATAGAAACTACAACACGAATATCAAGTGAATTTTTTAAAGATTCGGTCATTCTCAAATTTTTATTTTATTAATTTTTAATGAAATAAATTAAATTAATAAAGAAATTTGTCAATAAAGACTGATTAAATTTTTATTATTATTAAGATATCTCATAAATGGAAAACATTGACAGACTTTAATTATAAAATTATTTTGGTTCACGCTGGCGTATTAACATTCGACTGCGTTATTTACACAAACTTGATAATTTTTTGCAAAAATCTGATGATATTTTCCGTATTTGGTTAGCGTACCACACCCCGCATTGGATTTTGTTCACAGGGTGACTATTGTTTCCTATTCAAGTCTTCCATTTTATGTCAAGTTTTGTAACTTGAAAAAATTGACCATTTAATATTTATTTATTTCTTATCTAATTATATCGCTAAACTAAGTAGGTAGACAACGAAAAATATTACAAAAATCAAAATGGTTGGTTTTTGTTTGTTATACTAAATATACTAAATTTATATTTTGTCTCACGTTAATTGGGAAAGTTTTATCAATAAAATCCGTTTAAAAAAAATTCACACCTATATTTCTATATTTAATATATTAAAATTTTTTTTTCTCAAGAATTTTTTTTTGGGAAAAAAAAAGGAATTTTATTTGAAAAAAAAATGAATAATAATAATCAAAATATAAATCAACAAGAAGAAATGGGGAATATGAGAGAGAATCACCAGACCGCCCACAATGGTAGGATTTTAAAATTTTTTTGAACCTTAGTCACATCACAAAATGTTTTTCATTAAAAAATGTGCAATGAAATCAAATCAAAATCCATCTGAGAAATTATATTTTATTGATAACTTGCTTAGTTCCAAACCAATATTCTAATGCACAACATACAAATAAACATTCAACGTCAAATCAAGACTGGAGCAACTTTATCGACCAACTTAAAGTGCAGTTAAATATTAATCCAGGAGAAAGGCCAGAAGAATTTCATGGAGCAATTAACAAGCTGATTGGAGAAAATCATTATTTTGTAAATTTTATCAATAAACTTCAAAAGCGGTTCGGTATTAATTTAGATCCAGAAAGAATTTTAAAAGTAATTGACAATCTGATTAGCGAAAATGGATGCATTAAACATTTTATTAATCAACTTCAAACGCAGTTCAGTATTAATCAAGGAGAAGCTCTAGGAATAATTTTAGAAAGAATTTTTGCAATAATTATCAGTCTGCTTAACGAAAAGAAAAGATTAACTGAGGAGAATCAAGATTTTAATGAGTCAATGAAGATATATGAAGCAAATAATAAGGAATTAGCCAGATATCAAAATGAAGTAGTGCCACAATTAAATCAAGTAATTGAGTCACAATCAGCCAAACACACTGATTTAGCGACAAAATACGATGAATTGCATGCAGAAAAAGAAAGTCTTACAATTGAATTAAACAAATATAAAGTGTTTGAGTCAAAATACAGTCAATTGCATGCAGACAATGAAAAACTTACAAATGAATTAAACAATTACAAAGAACAAATTAAAAATATGGAACTACAATATAACTCTAATATTGTTGAGATGGGTGAATTTTATGGTAAAAAAATCAGAGAACTTGAAGCCGAAAATAATAGTAAAATAGCAAAATCAGAAGAAAAGGGAAATTATTATTTTGATGAATTAGTTAAAAATAAGGAAAAATTGGATAAATATCAGCAAGAGATTGAGCCCAAATACATAGAACAAATCAAGAGCTTAAATAATAATTTAGAAATAAATCAACAAGAAATCACTACCTTAAAAACCAATATATCCCGTGCAAAAGCAAATTATGATAAATTAAATAAGGATTATAATAATGATAAAATTTATCAAGATAATAAAATTGCTGAACTTATAACAGAAAGTCAAAACAAAACTCTTTTTATTAATGATTTAGAAAAATCAAAACGAGAATTAGAGGCTACAAATGAAAAATTGAGAAAAGAAGCCTCATCATATCAATCAGCTTTAGGGGATGCATTAAATTTCCGTTTGAGTGATGAGGATAATAATAATTCAGTCCAACTTTCAGCTGATATAAATTCTTTACAGGATAAACTTGAGAAATATGTTACTACATTAAAAGGTCAAATAAAAATTGATAATGATAAAATTCAAGGATTATATGGAAAATATAATTTAGATACTCAAAATCTAACTGATAAAATTTTGATGAAATCAGTTTTACAACGTCATGTTTTAGAAAAAATCCTTGAATATATTGATAATTATCTTGAAATTAAAGATGATGATGAACCAAGTATTCCTAATAATCAAGAAAAATATATAATGGATCATACAAATGAATTAATATTTCTTCTTGATAAATTTTATAATAATCATTTTGAACAAGATAATAATGTGATTAAAGCTATTCCAACAAAAATACGTCAACAAGTTTATGGTATATTGGGTGAATTTGGATTCTCAGAGACTTATGAAAATAAAATAAAACAATATACACATCCGTTTATATCATCCACAGCATTAGAACTTAATCAATTTATGGCAGGATATCGTTATATCAAAGATGATGCTAAAAGAAAAAATGTAGAAAATATGGCAGAAAATCTTATCAAAGATATAATTCAAATATTTAAATTTCGTTTATTAGTTCAAGAACCAAAATGTGAAACACGCTGGTTTAAAAAAGGTATAAAAATAAATCCTCAATTTATGAAAGGACAATGGGATGATGATTGTTTGGATGATTATGTTGTGGATATTTGTTATTTTCCTTTGATTGGAATGGAATTGGATGATTTGAGTAAAAGTAAAGTTTGCACTCATGCAAAAATTTTCGCTCGATCTATAGAACCACCAACACCGCCACCACCATCACCACCATTACCACCACCACCAGTGGAAAATCGTCCACCTTTAAATGATGAACCACATGAAAATTCGAATTTATTCAAAGGTGCTATAAAGGGCATTATTAAATATATGACTCCTGCAACATCCTCTTCAATACCAAGTCAAAATTCTGCTAACAATGATCATAACAGGGACCCAAACAAGCGTCAAAATTCAGTTGGCAGTGATCGTAATAGGGATTTAGATAAGCGTCAAAATTCAGCTAGCAGTGATCGTAACAATGGTCCAGATAAGCATCAAAATTCTGCTAACAATGATCATAACAGGGACCCAAACAAGCGTCAAAATTCAGCTAGCAGTGATCGTAATAGGGATTTAGATAAGCGTCAAAATTCAGCTAGCAGTGATCGTAACAATGGTCCAGATAAGCATCAAAATTCAGTCAACAATGATCATAACAGGGACCCAAACAAGCGTCAAAATTCAGCTAGCAGTGATCATAACAGTGATTCAAACAAGCGTCAAAATTCAGCTAGCAGTGATCGTAGCAATGGTCCAGATAAGCATCAAAATTCAGTCAACAATGATCGTAATAGGGATTCATATAAGCATCAAAATTCAGCTAGCAGTGATCATAACAGTGATTCAAACAAGCGTCAAAATTCAGATAACAATGATTGTAACAGGGATCAAAAAAAGCATCAAAGTTCAGCTAGCAGTGATCCAAATGATAACAATCTATCCCATAATCATAGTCATTATCAAAAAAACCATTCTCAAAACTTTAATAATCAATCTCTGGGTGGTAATGAATTTCAAGCAAAACCTCACGTTCAATCTAGACCAATAGGCAATGTAGATTCCCCCAACTTGAGCCAAACTTCAAGTAAAAATTCGACTAACACTAAAGGTAATAACAATGAAACAAGTCGACCACATATTGAAAATAGCGAAACTCCTTCCGCTCCAAGTACTAATGATGGTGCATCAACTTCTTTACCTAGCTCGAAAGAAATAAATGATCCTCAAGATAATAATGATAAAGTAATTACTACTACATCCAATGTTAATAATAATGGAGGATCAAATACTGGTGATAATAAAACAACGGACAATAATGCAAACAATCAAGATAATAAAAGCAAAAACAATGAAAATATAGGAAATGAAGGTAGTGAAACTAGGGGTAGTGTAACTAGGGGTATTGAAATTGAGGGTAGTAAAATTAAGGGCGGAAAAAATCAAACAGATAGTTTAGTATTAGGAGATGATGGTGGGAAAGTAACCGGTGAAAATGGGAACGGTAAAAACAGCCAAGATAAAGGAATTGTTGGAAAACAAAAAGGTAATAAAAAAGATGGTAGAGATAAAGACAAAGACAAAGACAAAAACACAAAAGTAAAAAAAGTAGATAAACCAACTGGTGATGACCAAGGAAAAAAAAAAAACTTAGGTTGTGGTCATCAAAGTAATAATGATAGTTTAGATGAAGAAGATTATGTTGATGTAAAAAAAGAAACCTAAATGAATAAAATATCTACTATATATGGCATTTTTGGTAATGATATTCGTGCTGGGGCCTCAATTAAAAAAGGGGATTAGATTTTTTATTATTTAAATATTTTTTAATATCTGTTTTTTTTTAATTTTTCAATTTGATTGAACTAATTTAATAAAATGCATTATTTTATTTTTGTAAATAACAAGTTTTAATATTACTGATTGTGCACTGCAATGGACAAAAGTATTAGGTCTATATATTACATTTTCTATGTAATGAATTGCACCGTATTAAAGGTTACTGAACAAACTAATCACGCGATATGGGAGTTTTAAAAAAAAATTTTTTTAATAAAATTATAATTAACCAATATAAATAATACACTACAATATACATATAATAAATAATAATACTGTTTAATTAATTATATAATAAAAATAAATTTAACTATGATAATAACTTTTTTAGGTTTTTATGATCAATATTGTTTGTAATATCATTAGTGGTCCAACATTCGGATAATTTGGTCAAATTAAAAATTTGGCACTCAGATAATCGGTTATTACTTGATATTAATATTAATATTAATATTAATATTTGTTAATTATCTGCGGTTACTCCATGAGCAGATATCAAAAATGTGAAATATAATCAGATCACCACCACCACGTATGTTATGCCACAACTTACTACAACATCGGGTGTTTCAGGTATATTCACTTTACATAATGCACTTTTAGATATTGTTCCATCACTGTTAATAATTCTGATTGGTTCCATATCCAACTGGATTTTTTGGAACCCCTTTTTTGTGGTTTCGACTGTCTGGGAATGTTAAATTTCTTTTGGATTGCTTGATTACATTGTTATAATATAAAATTAATGTCGGCGATAATGCGATAATGGAGATAAAATAGTATTCAATTCTCAACGTGGATAAAAAGATTTTTTTTTATATTCTGTACAATTGATCGGTGAATATCATTCGGTGGATATGAAGGACAGATTGAAATTGACTAAAATTCTTACCCTGATTTTTTTAAATATAATATCAATATAAGTTAATTCCTAACAATATATTTTTTTTGCCATTTAATTATAATTTATTGTAGCAAAATCAAATGAATAATATACTTACAGTATCAGACTTACTAACAACAGAAGATTCATTAATTCCACCATGTACATTAACTATATCAGGCTCGTTACCCATCAAATTCATTATCTACATTGAATTCATCTTCTAATTCAATACATTAATCATATCAGATTCACTAGATTTTCCACCAACTGCATCATTGGGCTGTTATTTGAAAGTTGAATTAGAAGAAGAATCTATAATAACATTCAAAACTGATCCCAATATTTCCCTTTTTTGATCATTAATAATTTTTAAATAAGAATGTATTCCTGCCTAAGAAACATGGATAGATATGGAGTTTGTGCAACCTGAATGATTCCTGATATTTCTATTTGATATATCTATACTGGCCTCAACACAGATATCACAAAACATACCATTATTTATACATAAAATGAAATAGGGAAAATTCAATAGGAAAAATAAATAATAATGTAATAAAGATATGAATTACCTTCAATATTTTGAGATAAAGTGACTTACATTTATAACGAGAAGAGTGTTTAGAAAAATAAAATCTTACATCATGATTTGGACCAGATGGGTCTTTTGGAAAAGAAATAACATGAGATGCCTACCTTCTTTTGATACCGCCTTGATCATTTTTCAGATGATACTTTTTTAGCATAAAACCATCTTCTGTATCCTTAAATTGTGAAATAAGCAAAGAATGATGTTCGCCACCTCTGGCACAACCAAGTAAACATATATATCCACATAAAAATACGATAAAGTAAACCAGTTGGATCATTTGGAGAGCAAACACTGTGATTCAATATTATTAATTTAACTTCTTGATTAGCCAAAGCATGATTTAGCTCGCTATGTCCTGTTTTTTTTTTTTTTCATTAACTTCAGTTGTTCATATAAAATACCATTTAATTTTGAAAAATGTTTACTTTTGCATAAATTGTAGTTCCAATATTTTTTGACATTCTTAAGTGACGATCTAGAGTTAGTTGATTCTAACACCTACAATAAATCCACATACTTCCCTTTTCGATTTTATCTTTATCATCTAAAGATTCAAGTAAATAGTTCTACCCGACTGCTTCACGCCAGTCATTTAAAATTCTCGCCTATTTGTCTGTGTTAGGTGTTGGCACCGTTAACCGGTTAACACTTTTTTGATTAATATTAACCGGCTAAAGAATTTTTGCGTAGTGCTCACCTATATGCAAAAGTATTTGAAGGAATTCTTGGTTGTTGTAACCTGTCTAATCCCTCTTGAGTTGACTTAAAATAGTCTAGTTTAAAAACAAACGGGATGTTAAACATTCATGCATGTAATTAATAAATGTTGTATATTGCAGACTTGTTCCATTTTTATTTCGAATAAGGATTTATACTGTGCAATCGATATTAGAAAACACATGATAAATCAGCATGAATTCAAATAATCATGCATGATCTTATTAAATGGTATATTTAAAAAATAGGGTTGTCATCGATAAATAAACTTTCCCAACCCAGATTATTTATTATATTCTAGATATTGATTGGATTTTTTGTCCGTTACGACGACGTCAGATATTATTTTGGACCATGAGAAAGTATTATACAGAATAAAATTTGCTAAACGACACAATTATAATATTAATATCAATTCCAAACTTCACAACAATGGATTAAATAAAACTTAATTTTTTCTGGTCTTTCTTACCAGCCATGGTGATATCATGATTGTTCTCTTATTCTTTTCCCCTCATTTAGCATAACAAGCTTTCATATCTTTTAATTTCTCAGTCCTACACTCATTATCCATAAAACCTATTAATCGGTTATCCTGCTAAATGATTCTATAAACCCACAGAATCTGGATAACATGAAAGTATTCATATATTTAATTCAGCGGCATCTACTCATCCACGCCCTCCTGTAAGGTTCCAAGCGAAACAAAACGAAGCGAACGGATTTTTTGAATTTGAATTTAAAATTGATAAAGAATTGACATTATATTAAGGCAAATACAGTCAAGCTTCATTTCAACGAATGTATGGGGCACGTATTAAAATCGCGTTTCAACGAATTTTACTTACTTGTTGATCAGAATGTGGTACATGCTCAATCATAACTATAATGAGTCACAGCATCAATGCTGCAATATTGTGTTTGCCCTTTGAATAATGTTGATTTGTACACCAATTTCATATTTTGTTTTCAGAAATTCATTAGTGTCTATGTCTATATTGTTGTAAGCATAATTTAAAAAGGAAATTTGATCCAAGCCATTGGTTGTAAAAAATAGATTTATGTAAAAAAAAAGTTTTATCTTTCAAAACATCAACCAATATACCAGTTTCAATTTCAAAACTCATAATTTAAAGAATGCAAAGAATGTATACAATTTATATATAATTTTTGAAATTTTTGGTTCCCATGCAATTTGCTGGACTAGTTTTAACTAAAGCAAAGCCTTTTTTAACAAAAACAAAAGATTTTAATCATTACTATTAATATATTATATCTTTCAAATTTTGATTTTGATTTTCTGCTACATAATAATTAATAATAATGATTATTATTATTATTTCGAAAACCAGTACTAGTCTATAATTTTGCCATATATTAATATATATATATAGATCATTTGACTATTTCCAGTCAGTAGAGATTTCGTACACTATTTTTTTTTGCTCCGTACATTTTTTATTTTTAGTTTTGTACGGAACGGAATTTGTGAATTCTGAAAAGTTGATTGGTGGGGCCAGTCTGTACAATCTTCGATTCCATATTTTTGTTCCATAACAGAGCATTATTTACTACAGAGGCGCAGATGTACGGAGTACGGACTCTATTACTATAGACTCGTATTTTTGTCCTACTGTATATAGTGGGACGATTTGGTAGACAATGTAAAGAGCATATAGCAATAATAAAAAAAAAATTTTTTTTCAAGGAAAATTAGTTTATAAATAAAGTAAAATCAAAAAACAATATTATTTAAAAATTATTAATATAGTTTAGTGTAGTAAAATGTGATTATAGACATAAATTTGGGATTTTTTTCACTGATTTATTCGCATCTCATCAATTAATACATTAATGCCATCACCACTACCAAAACCAGTTGCTGCTGATGCCTTGAAATATCAATCACCATCATCATCATTGACAATGTTGAGAACATTTTCCCAAGATAAACTTTATTCTATAAAGAACAAAAGCAAAATCCTGATCCTAATACAGTCCAGTATATTATGCAATACAGAAATACTGAATACTGCAATGATCTATGTTCTAGAATTAAAAATTATCATCATGAAATTTTGCTTTTGGTTGATTTATTAACCTTCATCAGTTATAACTATAGCATCCAATACTGCGTAAACATTTATTTTATTCTCGAATTTACTTGATAGATAAAGATGAGACAATGGAATGTCCCTAATTATTAAATAGGAAATAAAATCATAGATTAATATTTTCTTTTTAAAAAATTTTTTTTTTAAAAATTTAAAAGAATAATTACTCATTTTCCATCATAAAATGAATCCGAAGTTCATTTTTAAAACTTTTAGTAATATATAAAAAATGCTATTTAAAAAAATACAAATGAAAATTAATTAATTAATATACAATAATAATAGTAATTGTAATATTTGACTAATGAATTGGTTAATTGACATTGATTAATTGGTCAGTTACATACTTTGAATGTCTTCCTCAATACTGTACAATTAACAGGCTGCATAAGATCATATATTGTAAAATTGGATCGAGGAAATATCCGTTTAGCTTGAAACATAGCATTTGATCCTATGTATATACATATATATATATATATATATATATATATATTTGATGAAAATTCATAAATTAATTCCAAAATTTCAAATTTTAAGATCTTTAAACTAATGATTTAACAAATTACCTCTATGCCGATCATAAGGATTTTTCATACTTTCAATACTCGTTGCATCAGGATGAAAGGTTAATCTTATTTCTCTGGTATATTTATGAATACCTTCAATAATATGTTTTAAAATTTCTGAACTATATTCAACGCACACTAAATTATTACACTCTGGAATACTCCAATCAGTATCTATTGTTTCAGTGATCATACAATGCAATATGTATGAAAATGTGAGTTCTAAAGTGAAAAACAAAACAATCATTATTATTGTTAGAAGAAAATCGAATAAATAGATAAATTTATTTATCTTTATTTGCCTTGGTTCTTTTTTTCAAAAATTAAAACACAGCCATTGTTGTCATCATCACCATCAGACTTTACTTTAATAGTTAATTCATCAACCTCCTCAAAGTCATTAATCTCTTTTTTAATAATTTCCTTAATTCCTGCACTTTGTATAGAATAACAGTGGCTGTTTGTAACATTATATGAGGTGAAAAAATCTCTGGTAAAATTCGTTTTCATTGGTTTATCCATTTTGCAACTAACCGTCATTATGAGCTACAAAATAATTGATACTAGTTTTAATAATCTTTATTTTTAAATCATCATTCGAAGAAAATAGTTATATACTTCTTCTGGTTTTGTATAAAAATCAAGTGATGTATAGTTACTAGTAGCTAATCTCATTATTAAATAGAATTCTTTAAATAAAGATCAAATATGTTAATATATTTTTTGACACACGTGTGGGTGTAAATACATGTTATATCTACTGACTTTTAACGGAATCCTCCGTGATTCTGGCTTCAAAATACAATTGTGGTTCAGTAGTTGTTGATACAGATGTTGACATTGTTAGATATTGATGATTAGGGTTATTACCATAAATGGTATTTCCTAGTTTATAATTGGCTAAATTTTATGCAGATCTTCTAATTAACTGGATCATAGATATACGTGCCAGGATTAAAGCGATGTTAAAGATGCCATTTTTCTATAGTAATATATAAGTAGTTCAAATTATAATAATTTTTTATAATATAAAATTACTTATTGTTTTATACAAAGTCAATAATTTCTCTATTAAACAATTGATTAACTTGCCATTCATCAGAATAATGTCAAATCTTAAAAAAAGAAAATCATCTTCTACAGCTTGTAAAATAAATTTCCCTGCCAATTGTAAAAGGTATTATTTAAATAAAAGGGTTTATTAAATTCCATGCTTCCTTCTCTATATTAGTTATTTTGCATAAGTTTCTAATATTGTTGTTCTAAATTATATAAAGCCGGATTTCTAGCAAAAACCGTAAAGTATGATCATAATTAAAGATAACATTCTTAGATAAAAAATAAATATAATATAATAATAATCATTATACGCCATCGATAAAAGATAATAATATTATCACCAAACTTCCTAATAAAAAGATCAGTAATACAACGAAAATAATATTCATAATCCTTCGGAGAAAAACGCAAATAATCCCAAATTGCCAAATTAGTATAGTGAATTTAAAAGATAAATTTCTCTACATTACCAAATATGGTAAATAAGATTAATTGCCTAATTTTGACTAGAATTATTTTACCGACCAAGAATTTTAGGGTTTAATATCTTATTGTACCATTAGTATACTTATCATCTCTGTACTTATTGACAAGTCTCTGCACAAGAGGTCAAGATTTTTTGTACACAAAAATTTTGCAGAAACGTTTTTAGAAGTTTACAAGTACATGTGCACAAAAATTGATCAGTGAATTTCATACATTGCACAGGTGACTGTTAGAGCTAGGAAGTTTTATTGAACAACAAGCACAAGATCAATTAAAAGGAAAGAATTGGATTATCCCACATATCCCTTTTATATCCCTTTTTTGTTTCCCTTTATACAATAACAACTCTTACATAACAGGGAATGAGATATAACTGAGCATATACAACATATTAAATAAGGATATTTGTCTCAGCTGAATTATGAAATATAAATGAGAACAAGAATAACAACAACAGGGGATAAAGGTATAAACTGGGTATGAATCCAAAAAAATCAAGTTATTTAGCATATGTAGCTACAAACATGATATAAACAGTCTACTTTTTTTATTAAAAATCTTAATCATGATATTACCATATTTTCATTCTTGAACATTCTCCATTATTCCTCCATAAAAATACCTAATTATCCTGAGCATTGATGTCAGTGAATTCCTCTTGTGTTTTACTTGCTATTGTTGACCTAAGCGGATCTAATGTAAAATACAAAAGTATATATTTGCATTTTTCATACAAAGTAAAATAATATAATAAATACATACTGAATAGAGTCTCCTTGATTCTTTTTGATGGTTTTGATGGAGTGTCCAAACATGTTGGAAAATACACCTTTTGTCGTTTTTGTGGTGGTGGTGGAGTTGTATCACAGGCATCCTTAGGTGTTGTAGTTGATCTTCTTCACTGTCATCAGCTTGGTCAATCAAACAAATTGTATTCTCAACAGTTTTCCGTGTGAATTAGTTTGTTAGATACAGGGAACAGTGTTTGAAAATCATATATAATTACTTACTTTAGTCTTCCATGCAATGGCAATTACAGAAAGTGTGTTTTTTCCAAACTCACTAGTATGTGGTGCAATAGAAAGAGACTTCACACAACATACATATCCTGCTGGTGAGTCCATATGCAAAATTGACATCATAAGCCCTAGAAAAATGCAATAAAAGTAAGCAACAAAGGCAGATAAAGGTATTGAGTGTTAGGTTAAAAATATACCAGAATGAAGGAATCCAATTGTTTCCAATTTGCAAATTTTACATTCATCTTGTTCAACAATCATACAAAGCTGATCAAACATATCTTTCAACATCTTAGGCCACTTTCACGCAGCAACTTTGTACCATTCTGTCCCTCAAATTGTCGGCCTGCTTCTGCATACCCAAACTCTGTAAACTTACGAATTATAAGGTCACCTCTCCTCCCAAGCATTTTTCTTTTTGTATCCACTACCGCAGCCACAGTTCTTTCCCAATTTTTTCTTGTTGATGATGACAAGCTACATGACTCTCCTTTATTGTAAAAATGATTAGACCATGGAAAGAAGAGAACAGATCAGAGGGTTTTCTTTATTCACCTTATTACTTCAATTCCCTCAATATCATTGAAAATTTTATCAGTGAAGCTCCAAACATGGATGAGGAACCACAGCTCTAAATGGTTCAATGCCAAATTATTTGATTCATATTCTTGCAATCTGTGAAATGAGAGTAATGAGAGTGTAAATTTAGAATCCAAAATCTTTGAAATGAAATTATTTACATACAAATTGTATACTGTGTTGCGTATCCAATCTCAGTCAAAATCTTTTAATCTATTGAAATCACATCCATTTGCTCATGCCTAAACACTTGCTTCCAGAGTTCCAAGGCAGTTTTCTATTGGAATAATATACTTGTTATCAGTAAAATAAGCAAAATGTTTAATACATAAAAAAAAGTAAAACTTACAAAGTTGAAACTATTTAAGTACTTCAACAAGTCAAAAGGCATTAATGGCATTTCCTTGGTTTTAAAATGACGAATCTCTTGTAATTCATTCATTTTCAGTAAAAACATTCTCTTTCAGGTATGTATTGTCTTTAGGGTCCAGAACAAAGGAATGTGCAAGGCTTTTTTTATATAAGGATTAAAATATGAGTAAACTTATATACATTGAAGAATATATATAGACTTATTGTTTAAATATAAATTTACTGTTCATATTTGCAATGCAAGCTGAAATTGTAAAGAGCATCTTCTATAATCTT